CCACTCTCCTCTCCCCTCTCTCAAATATATCAGGCCAGTTCTAGGGATGCAGAGGAAACACAAGAAGCATCAGAAGGGAGACAGACGGGTAGCACACAGGGAAGCTGTGAGAAACGCTACACACACCTTACACAAAAGGAGTCACAGAGCAAAGACGACTTAACCCGGCTCTGCAGAACAAGTCACTGTTAGGTTACACACACCCTGAGGATAAGAATTAGGTCCCATTAGTCTTCTACCTGCCCTCCTCTGTAGCAAAATGTTCTATATGGAGTAACACCTCTACAAAGGCCACCGTTTAGTGAAACCCAATGTTTAAGCCTCCTTTTGCATCTGGGTAAACAGGGGCCCAGTGAACTTTCGGTCTAGTAAGGGCACATTCTGTTGCTTCCTTTAACTTCACGTACAATCCTTGCCTTCTTCTCAATCTCAATGCTTTTTCCTTCTTAGTAGGCTATATGGTAACTCCCTTATCATGGATATTTTTCCAAGAGATCCAAGGATGCATTCCCCAAAACAGAAACTACTCATAATTAATGTTATATATCCTGTGAGTCCAGCCCTAAGACCAGCACTTTTAAGAAGTCAAGTTCAGTCACAAGTGATTCTAGGTCTTTTTCCTCTCTATTCCTAAAAATTAAATGCAATATAAATTACTCCCAAATATAAAATCTAACATACTAATTTTCTATTCAAGTGGATTCATAATCACTATTTAATATTCCACCCACGTGGTATTGGGAATCACTGCCTCACACACAGTGTAGCACGTGTGTGTGCTGTGTGTGTATACGTACTTTTATAAACCCTGATAGTCCAGGGAAGACAGAATCAAGGCGTGGGGAAAAACCAAGAGCAAAATCCCAACAAGGCCTGGTTTTTTGTGCAAAGAATTATAAATTCCTTTCCCAAAAAACTGCTTGAATTTTTTACTTCAAAATTACCTAAGAGCAACCTCTAATAGACTTAGAAAAAATGTGAAAAAGCCTGGCTACCAGCTCAGGAGTCATTTACAGATAGATTAAAGTGAATTAGTTCCACAACATTATTTTTCTCTTAATATCCAGATGAGATCTGCTATATATTATGGGAATAAAAGGTGAGATGGGAAACTAGAATGAAGGAAATAGTAACTCTGATGACAGAGATTACACTTATGGCCTCTGAAGTACAGCCAACGTCAGAGGAATGTAGCTCAAAGGTAGAGGGCTCTGGGAGCAGCGTACAGGAGGCCCACTACAGGTGGAAACGGAAAAGGTCTACAAAACGTCAGAATCTGGCTTAGGAAAGGATGAACCTCTAGGAATGCATTCTTACCACATCTATTCTACACCTAGAACCCAGAACTCATGCTAAATAATTAAATGTAAGTTACTTACATTTTGTAGGTTACTTAAATGTGCTAGGTTGGCCTGAAACTTAAAACTCCTATTTAAGTTCCAAGTTCCAAAAGGTTTATCTAGCTGCATTGATCAGTAAGCACGTAGTGATGCAAATTAACTAAGCCAAGACAATTCTGGGTCTTATTGCTGTTAAAGATATGACTTAAACATATATTTTCTAATGGAATGGTAATCTGGGAAACGAATGTATTTTGCTATTAAGCAATAACTATGCCCAAATTTACAACAGGCAAACACTAGCTTTTCATAAAATGGCTGTAAATTTATTCATCAACCAAAAGTCAAGTCATTCAATAGGCATTAAGAGCACTCTGAGTACAGTATGTAGGCAATGCAAATAAACTTTATCATCTTTTCAGAAGTTTCTCTGTAAATATTATTAGTATACAATGCAAATTAGCATGCAGCCCCTAAATACAGTACAATACACTGAGAAATGACAAACTATTTGAAAGCTTAAGGCTACGTTTTAGGTGTGAAAATTCTCACAAGATGAGGATTAATAGCTTTTCTCAGAATCAACTCAATTTCCTACATGTTCCATTGTTAAGTTTAGGGGAGCTTCTTCTACTTTGTACAATATTGAACATCTCAGATCAGAAAGTAAATTTGCATGTAACAGAATAAATGTATTATTCTTTTTTTCTGCTCAAAATAGTGAAAGCAGGTAAGGTAAAAATAAAACCAAAGCCAAGGAGCTAGCAATCCTGCATTATGCTCAAGTGGGTATCATTAATTCTTTAATGTATTTAATAAATCCCACAATGAAACATGCATAGGCAAGATGATTATACATTAGCATAATCTTGAAACTGTAAAATGTTCACTTCCACGAAATATAAATATACGATGGTTCTGCAGTGTCCAGAACATAGCTTCATTAAATTTTACAGAGCTTTTATTTCCAAAAATGCATATAAATAGCAACAACAAAATAACCACAGGTTTCTTACAATGGATTAATGAGGCCTATGTCTTAAGACAGAGTCTAAGCCAACCAACACAGAAAGCCTAAGGTACTGTCTCCATCCAACCACCTTTAAAATTTAAAGTTCATGCAACGAATTTTTCAAAGGTCTCCCCATTTTATGTTTCTTCTTCCAAAGCATCTACAGTGTAAAACCCCAAGACCTTTAATAATAAACCATATGTTCTTGAAATGTGGTTAAAGAATAATACCTAGTGCTTTATCTGACACTCGGGAGGATACAAAATCTAACTTTTCTATAGGGTTGTATGTGTTACTTACTGGTCAGAAAACAGAACATTTTTATTTTAGCTAAAATTATACAACCGTACTAATAATCTTTAGGTAAGACTATTTCTTAGGATTTTTGTCATTTTAATTACAAAAAGAATGAAAAAAAAATCTACGGTCCCTCATTATTTTTATTACTGATACGTTGACATATTACAGAAATCACCAGAGCCAGGACAAACAAAATAATTCCAATACCAGCATGCCGTATTAGCTTTACTGAAAAAGTGACAAAAACTAAATATTAAAAGGTCCCTTGAAATTATTTTTTTTTAAAGACCCCATGTTCCAGTATCTAACACCCAGAATAGGAATAAAGAGTGATGTTGCCAGTCGTCTACAAATTCTCAACAGAACCCTTATTCGCATCTTACTACCTATCTGGACAAATCAAGCTTTTAACCTCAATGAAAGAATACCACTCAGTGTCTCAACTGATACAAATATGGAGGGGGAAAAAAAGGATACCCTTGAATCTTCAGAGCTACTTTTACTGGCACTTAAGACTGAAATTAGCTGTCCGTGGTCTCAGGAGGGCAGCCACCATCCAGAACAGAGAGAGCACATCCTGTGTATCCCCTTGCCAGTATTTCCCCTTAAAGCCCTGATAAATTATAAAATGTCATAACTGGCTAAGTTATACAAGGAAGGGATTTCAAACAGTGAAAACCCAGGAAGGTAATCCACCGCATATGCACTTTTCCAACAAAACAGCTAAGCATTTCGTGACTAATCTGTTTTAAATTCGGTTGCTCTGTTCCTATGCAATCTAATAAACTGCCAAAATATTTTTAAACAAGATCTGAGAATTTCCCTCGGAGCTTCTGATCTTTGCACTCCTTAGAGTTGGCAGACACGTCACTGGCAAACCATTTGTGACTGACAAGTTATTCCAAACCGGCTGACTCCGCTGAAACTGTAAATTAACGGGAACCCCTAAAATCTTCCAGCCTCTTAAATTCCAGGAAGCGAGGGTTAATTAAGCATGTACAAATCCATGGTTTGTACTGATCACCTGCAGCAAAACTTGGGTCTGCAGAATCTACCAATGCATACTCCAACTGAACCATCCTTTCCTCCCAAGATCCTGCTACGTTTTGCTCAGGGTCACTTCCTATCTCGCCGGTCACAAATATCTGCCGATATTCTACGGCTTCTCCCCGCCCGGGTCGCACACATCTGCACGCAAAGCTCCGTCCCACATGTGTCTGCAAATTCCTCCCTCGGCCTTGCAGGCACCGCCGAGTGTCTGGCTTCCCTGCACCTCGGTGCCAAGTTTCTCGCAGCCACTTCCAAGCAAAACTCTCTGCTCCTGCTTTTAAAAAGAAAACTACATTCGGAAAAGCAGGACACCCGGGAAGAAAGGAAGACTGTAAGCGCTGCACTTTGTTAAGTAAACACGCGAAGCCCTGGGTCCCCGCAGGCGGCGGCGGCAGGCGGCCCCGCGCCACCACGGCCGCCTC